GTCCTCCTAGAGATCTACCAGAGTTTTTCATGAAATTTTGGCAACCGCCTATGTTTGTTCAGCTTTTTGTTTCAAACGCTCTCGGTATCTTCGACTTCTTTCGGCGACACTCAGAGGTATGAACACTCGTGAAAGATAATATCTAGAATAGTTATCTGACTATAAATCATGGCGGGAGTCCGGAAACAAGCAAGAAAAGGCGAGATTTGTTGTGCGCAATGAAGAGAAACAATTTAAACTGCATCTAGTTAATTCAGGACAACTTAAAAAGACGAAAAATGAGAAAAGAAAGAAGTTCATCTTTTCGTAAAAACAAACTTGGTCGATGATGTGTGATTCCGCCACGCTGTTTAACTTTAACAACAAATATTTGAGTTAAAACAAATTCGTGAATTAGATAGAGCGCGAAAAACTGTCACTAGAAAGGTGACTTGATCTTCCTCAAAGATCACAGGTGTGACAAAAATAAAACTGCAGATAAATTTCGTGGCGGAATCACGCGTTCAAAATACCACGTTTACAAATTCAGATGACTCAGTCATCTGAGCACAGAAATTAATTTCTTTTACGTGAAAAATAAGTTCATCTATTCTACTTTCGACCCGAGTCACAGATGGAGGAAAGAAACAACTAACTGTCAACCCGAACAAAAAAATGAAAAAGCTCATGTGCGCTGTTCTTTTATGGTTCAAGGCGCCATCTGTTTAGAAGCCTTTTTCTCTAAAAAATGAACGCAAAACGAAGATAAAAGAATGCACTTTTATACATTATTGACTATCCTCTACAACATAGTCGTACTAGTTTTAGCCGCATTTGCACCTTAACTTTGACATAAAAGTCTACCATTACGTGGACTAGCTGAGTAACAATTAACAATATATAAACACAAGTCGTAGACTGGTGCAAACTGATTACCTCGCGTAGTATAACCCTACAAAAAATTTGGATAAAATAGTTTTGCGCATATTTGAAAACACGTTCTACTCATCAAGATTAAATATCGTAACATAATGTAAACATTTTCTACTATTGTCTCTATTTTACGTTTGACTTCTTTCACTTTGATTTGAATTTAGTTTCGAACTTGTTAAAATTTATCCTAATTGCATATAAGCACTATTCCGAGCACTATCGGGCGTTTCTGTGATTGTTATATGTCAATAAAGTATACTTACCTGGTAAGTCAAATTTTAAAAGTATGATATCTAAGTTAACGAGTAATTGATTTGTCTTGTGAATTTGTCTCCTTCTTTTCCTCATTTTTGGTAAGACTTAGTCATCATACGTTGCTTCTTATCTTTGATACAAACACAGTACCGTCTGTTCTTATAGGAATCATTATAATATAGCCTGGATCTTTACAGTAAAGACTTTACCACATACAAATATTTTTGTGATCAATAGACACTTCTTATCATTGCATGCTGAGTCATCAGTAGTCCTCTACGTAGTATATATATATATATTATCCCCTTTCCTAGATCTCTTTTACCTCTCTTCTTGTCTTTATCTATCGTGTAGACATGAGCGGGATTGGAAGTAAAAGAAATTTTTACCAGGACCGAAGAAAACTTTTTATCGATACCAAGAATTTTTTTTGACAAAATCTCATCAAACAGCTAAAATTTTGAAGGGAAGTAATAAAACAAACTAACAGAAAGGATAAATATGCAAATGTATTCTCCTTCAATGTTTCTAGTTGTTGATTTTAACTAAAAAAGAAAAATGTACACCAAAGAACAGAAACCATTTTCGTTCAACAACGATTACAAACTTGTAAGTGAAGTTTAGTCGCTGTTCAAAATACGTTTGAGCTACCGCGTCTTCCATCAATATGTTACGGGAAACAGCCACATACGTTGAACAGTATGAAATAAACAAGTGATAATTCGAACAAGAGCTGAAATACTAAGACCATTTAAATTCGTTATTTCTTACAAAAAATAGAGTAAATTATGTTATTCTGACATAGTTTAGATCGATTTTGACCATGTTTATGAATTTCTAATTTTGGTCTATTAATCAGTTGTGCTCCGAATTGTTTTCATCATTCAGGGGCGCTGACTTTGTTGTATTCAACCGATATTTATATTACTGCAACTTTGAATGAAGCATGTACCGAGTTTTTTTCTGAACCTACAGCATATTGTTCTGAATTTATATAACTTACTTTATTATAGACCGATATGCCAGCTGCGTTATCGACACACAAAGCGACTGTTGGAGTTGAAGATTTCAAACAATATGAGAAATTTATAAAAGATTATGGTTAAGAAGACAGTAAAATTGACTTATAGAGTACTATGCGGTAAAAAGAGTCAATCCATTCAAATACATGGAGATTTTTTAAAAGAATTCTACTCATTCATGATTGGCACTAGTGTATCAAAATTATATCATTGTGAAGCTCTACTCTTCCTCTACCGAACCATATGATTTTGATTTCCATATCTGTTACCTTCACTACGCCAATCACTACAGTAAAACATGTGTTTGTTTCTTTGGAGTAAAAAGAGCCAATCAGTTCAGATACATGGAGGTTCTAAAGAAGAATTTGTACAGACTTCTCAAAACCGATTTTAATACTACTGTGAGTGTAAAAGTTGTTAATGATACCGTCGTCTTTAACATATGCGGAAACTGGCACTTAATTCATAAAACGAAAGAAATCTTATGATATCCTAAATATGTCTATAACTTTTACTGTGTTTTACTGAAAGTCAAATGCATCATTTTAATTGACCACAAATGAACTGAATGATCTTATGAGCTCTTGTTATGCAAGTTTTGATTCTGAATCGAATGAGAAAAAGAGGACACTTATATCAAGGAAAATAGACGAGATATTTTCGATATTTCTATTACGAGCACTGTTTTCAAACATATTTCTTTGGCAAAAAACTATAATAATTGAATTCTGAACATTGCTCAAGGTATGTTTGGCTTCGCCCAGTATTTATGATATGTCAGAAAACTATTATCCAGCTTGGATTCATCAATTAGTTCTTTAAACTAGTAAGTGCTTATATAAAGTCTTGTTCTGAGCCATTTTTTTACCTGAACCCACAAAAATGCCTCAAACATACGTTAAGCACAGCAAGAGATAAATATTTCGAAGACGAAATTCAAAAAGCAATTGATAATATCAAGCAAGATATATCTGTTCGAGAAGCATCACGTGCTTTTAATATTTCATATTTTACACGTCAACGTCAATGAACTAATGAAGTATGAATTTTAGTAGAGACATGAGCATCGCGACGAATGCTCTCCGAAAAGTGCCGTCTGTATAAAATGTGTTTTTTCTTAGTATGTTCTTTCAGTAGTCCCTCAAACCCAGCCGCATTAGGGTCTCTGGAAAAGATGGTTCGATCGAGCTGAAACTTTTATCCGGATACTTTAGACCTTATATCAGGTACGTTTTTATTAAGCATTTTTAATTTTAACTTTCAACATGAGACGGTTTTTAAAACAAAAAATCGATTTTTTATATGAGATTTTTAGTATTTTTCGAACAGCTCAAGAAGGAAAGCATATTTTTCCAAAAGAAAACAAACAAACCTGATATAGGACCTGAAGTATCTGCAGTCAAGATTTCAACTCGATCAACCATTTTTTAGACGTACTGTGGCCGAATGAAAACAAGAGTTTTCTAGAAAACCCATAGAAGGGCATGTTAGAAAATTCTGAGCAAAAATATTTCGATTTTCTTTGTTGATGTTCTCTCTTTGGTACAAATTTCAGCCCGATCGGGCATCAGCTTCCCGGTTTTCAAGAAGGTCAAAGAAGAGAGAGCAGGATACCCTTAAGTCCAGCCTTCGATTATCGTTTCTCGAATGATCGTCGGCGAAAAGTCAAAGCAATTCTTAAATTTTATTTTAATTATAAAACATATTTAACAGGACTTGATGTTTATAATAAAATTATTAGCAGCAGCAATCAAAATGACCCATTGTCACCAGAGATTGAACGAGTCCCAGCTCTCAAGCTTGACTTTTGGCCACATGACGTGGAATAGAACAGAACCGTCCTTTATTATAAGACAGAATTAAATCCGTCTATATGCATCTTATACCAAAATGGTCTGGAAAAGCGGCCGAAAAGTATAAAAATATAGATTGAAAAACAATCAGCTAAACAACGTTCACCTATCGAATAAATTTTAAACCGGGTAGCTAGAGGCATATTTTACAAGTATTTGCATAAAAGAGCAATACCAACACAACACCGTCATCCAACGAAAAATATTTGACATCTTATTTTGTAACAACTATTCTATGGATGTGTGAAACTATGAATTTAGATAATATTTATACTCCAGTAATTATGTATGTTCGTGAAACAGAACAAAGATTAACTAAATGATGGATCCATTATGTCTGTTCAAAACTAAATTCTAGAACTTGTTCCCAGTGATTTATAAAAGATTTAAATCTGGTCGATGGATATTCTGATGAATATCTTGCCCGATTATATGTTATTCTTCAGAACAATGTTAATCTCAAAGATAGTACATACTTCAAAATCGTATTCTTTTGTGTGGTAATTACATAGAGATTCTTCTATACACTTTGCTTTTCACATAAAAGAACTTTTGTGTTAAAGACCACGCATTTTAAACATTGTTTTTCACTGATCCCAAAACGTCGGAGAAAATATACCAGAAAGGAAATGCTATATTATGTCAGTCTTCGAGGCTTACACGACACTTGCGTTGTCTGTGTATTTTTCTGGAAAATGGAAATTGTGTTTTCGAAAACGTTTTTAAAATAGCTTTTGTTATTACCTCTAGAGTTCTAAAATGCTTATTCGTTGAAAAATATAACTCTATAAACTTATTATATCAAGGCAATCTTAAATAGTTAGTTGTTCACGTTAGCTATTTCTTAACATTTCGATAGAGACGAGCTGAATTTTTGGCTGAGATGAACTGAAAAATGTGTAAAATCGCTTTCTCGATAAAATTCGATCAAAATTAAGTTGAAAGAATAATGAACCAAAATCAAGCAAAAGTGATCAGCAGCAGCTATATTTGAACAGAAAGTGACTAAACAGTGAAAAGCAAAACGTGAAAATAGAAAGAAACTAGAAAGGACTGAATCTATATATAGTCATGTGCTTTATTGTAATATATAGCTGATTTGATTATCGAAAACTTCGATTTTTGAAATAAAAGATCAATGACTATTGTGTGCATACGATTATTATTAGCTTTACCAAATTATATTACAACAAATAATATTGGTACTATTATTCGCCATTATTTCTTGGATTTTTGCAAACACTGTACGTGATATTTATATATATCGGAGATCAGATCAAACATTCAATTGAGTCCAACACTGAACTACTACTAATACCAAAGAGCAGTGTCCGTGAATGTTTTCTTTTAATAAATCGAGAAGAAAACGTGACAAAGAGACATGACGTCCACCGCGCGATACCCAACACTTTAGAGCATGTTTCCATAAGCAAAAGGGTTTTGAAAAAGAATTTGTGAAACCGGTTATCTAGAGGGTATTTGCAAAACCGACTCGTAATTGAAAAAATTAAAATAGAAATTTACTGCGGTTTTTTCATGGGTAGCGGGTCCAAAGTATCTTTTTCAAAATGAGAATTAAAGGATTTCTTAACTTTTCATGGCTTAGGTGCGGCATCAGATTTCCTAGAAGTCTCGGGCTCGATATTTCTGTAGGTAATCCCAAAAATGAATGAAAAAATAGGAATCGATGGAGGCTACGTCAGAATATCAAGATGTGCTCCATTTCATCTAGATTAACGTAGATGATGTACAGCATAACACCCATGGAAAAAAGTCAGTAGATTTCTATTTAATTTTTTCGATTACGAGTCGGTTTTGCAAAGAACTCCTAGACAACGAGAAATGTAGAATTCGTTAGAAAAAGCATTATATTACCGACAGTTCATTTAACACAGTTACATCCTTCGAAATATTTTTCCAAAGTATGGTATAGATTTTCTGAGGTCACAAGATCTTCCTGTCAAGGGTCTGTGAATCGCAGAAGAAAGTTAGTTTTAGATTATAGTGTAGATAAAATGAAGAATACGTTGATATTGAGAAGTAGTTTAAAGCAATTTAGGCTGGAATGCGAATGTTTTTATTTCTACTGGAAATCATTTTGATATAAGAGGCGATATCGACATTATCGTTTTTTGAGGGAAATCCTCAAAGGCATCGGCCGATTTTGACAATGCGTATGGCACGGTATTTTATAGTTGATATTTAGTGAAATAATTAGACACATCGTTTTACTACAGGAGAAGTATTCTTGCATTCGTTAAAGTAAAAGTTTTGGGACGAAAACACAGTGTAGCGATTTCGCGTTCATCGCACTATTCGTTACTTGGTTTAAATAGTGTATAGTTGTCACTCTTATGATAAAACGTTGAGGTTGTCTACAATTAGTAGCCATTCATTCAGTGGCTCGTCTAGAAATTTTCATGGGAGTTCCGATTTTAGAGAAAAATGACCGATGTTTCCAATTATTTTGCTTTTAAAAGTAAAACTCATTTTTCAACTAGAAGTGGTCCTATCGGTTGAAATATCAAGAAACTAGTGAACATGTTATCGGCACAGTTCAAATTGCTGTACACGTGAGGTCATGCATAATTTGAGTTCGCTGCGAACTCATTCTTTGTCATTTTTATGTATCTGTGATACCTAAGATATCTAGGGTATCTTAGGCATCTATAGCCACCCTCCCTCCTTTCATCTTATACATATACTTTTGGTATATATATAGCATACAAGTTCGCTGCGAACTGATAAAAAGATTACTATATTTTAGTTCGTAACGAACTTAAATTGTGCATAGTACGATACAAGTCGTTACAGAAATTTTAAGTGGGTCATAGCTTTTTCTAGCTTTATGTAATCTACATGTCATGCTCAATTATTCATAAACTGCTTGCATGAATAGCCTGCGGATAGCTCTGAATTCCATCTCGTCTCTCCATGTGCGCGGGACAGAGAAAAGTCTGAATTTATATGGGGTTTCTTTCTGCTGTTGCATTTAAAACTGACTATAGAAAACTAACTCAATATATTCGCAACTAAAAGTGGGAGATGGATGCATCAAAAACAGAAAGTAAGATGCACCGATACTTGTATTACACTAAAATAAATTTCAAGAGTAAAGGTGCTGAATTAGCCTATTTTATGGCATAGAAATGATTTATTATAGCTAGGTAAATGAAAATGAGTGAAAAAGCAGCAGCAAAAGAAAAGATGTGGATATTAGGCGCGAGTATACACTGATGTGAAAGCGGCGTCAAAGTAATGCCACTTAAAAACATGAATAAAGCTACCTTTCTTATCTAAACTTTCCTGTTCCAAATTTTATACTAAGTTAAACTAGAATTAATTCAAGGATTTTGATATAAACATACGAGTCTTGAGCCTGTCAAGAGTGCAAACCTTCTATCGTATCTGTTGTTCTTGCTCTAATGACGTTATTGTATTTGCAAAACGATGAAAATTATTTTTATCAAACAAGCAAACATAACGTTGAATGGTAGAATAAAAAAGAGAGGTGAAATATTATGGGAGAAAAATTCGTCGACTTTGTCCATTTCTTGAAACTTAAAAAACTGCGCAGATGGGTTGGTGATAGTGAGAGTGAAAAGATACGAACTCTGTACGTACCTTGACTCTGTTATATCCCCTCTCTAGAAAAAGCAATGTATTTCTCTTATCTTCAGTTATGTCAACAGAAAACTTCTAACAGAATACGTTCTTCTTCTTGCTTCATGTGTTCGTAAAGAATTTCTCTTCATAAAGGTATACGTTGCACTGATTGTTGTGAGTAAATATCAATCTAAACAAGTAAAACTAGAACTTTTGAGGGAAGCACGTAAGCATCACAAAAGCAAAGGTTGTTTGTCTTGGTTAGATCACACGAGATGCAACTGTCATTTACCATCAGCATCTGCTTTGACATTCACGAAAGCTCTTTCTTCTAGCGTCGATGGTGTCAAGCAACCCACAACCCACAAAATGGACAAACACAAACATTGAACAGCAAAATCACAAACAAGGACAGAATCTAGAAACATTTGTTCTCTTATGGCTCGATCAGAATGTGAATAAAAGCAAAGACAGTTTAGAAACACAAACACAATTGCGACGATCCATCAACTGTTTACTGACATTTGAAAGTGGAAATGAATGTGAAGAACATATTGGAGAAAGCAAAGATGAAAAGATTGTTCTAATCGTGTCTGGCCGATTAGGCAGAGAGATTGTCCCGAGTGTTCACGATTTACCCCAGTTAAGCGCCATTTACGTCTACTGCATGGACAAAATAACGAATGAAAGATGGGCAAAATCTTATAACAAGGTAAAAGAAGTTTTCTTCAGAACACCAAACACTTGAAGAGAGAAGCAAACGTTCTCTTCCATTTCTTCAACTTCTCTGGCTCGTGTTCGTGAGCCAAGTGAGCAGATGTGTGGTACTGCTATTAAAGCTATCCATTTCTCTTCCGAGGTGGTTCTGTGATGGATCGTTCTTTTCGTTGGTTTCAACCTCTTAGACTAGCAGAAACAAAAGTTAGTGATCTTCAGAACCCAGAAGGTTGTCCAAGGAAGAAATCGTTCGCTTCGGCACTCCGCGGAGTACGTGGGCAGTCTGGTATGCCATCGGCGTCCGAAGTGTCATCGGAATAAATGGTGTAAATTCTTCGATGTTTGAAAAGTAAGCACAATTGTAATGAATCATTCTTGGCAGACATGACATTCAGACATAGTGTGTAGTCAAAAAAATGTGACTGAATGTTTGTACTACTTCTTTCTTGTAGGCCAAGGTTTCACTTATGTGTTGTTCTTCAAGAAGAAAAAAGATTTTTTGTCTTCTATTGTTCTTTCTAACTGCGTGTTGGATGTAAACTTCGAAGATAGCTAAATTTCACTTTTGAAAAAGCGCTCGTACTGTGAATAACTATTTTTAACCCAACGTGCGTAAAATGACTCCTTCCAAAATTTATGTTGATATAAATATTCTTCCTATTAATGTTACAACATATAATAATCAAAAGTTTTATGATGTGGTTAGTGATTAGGTTGGCGAAGATATTGCCGATTTGTTGAAAATTCAAGCAATACACAGTATTCTACCATTGTTAAATATAGACGATGTTTCTGATGTATTAAATATCGATTGTCAAAAAAGCACCGATATAAGAAGTCGAATTACATTTAAATTAGATAATAATACATTCATTGTTAAAGGTTTAGTTAAAAGTCTTTGAACTTCTGCCTTCGTAGTTATTAATAAATATAACTAAACGTTTTGATATGTTAACATATCATCCGCAGTAGTTAGAAACGAATTATTTTATAGATCCACAATCTAAAATTATAATAACTTTTCCAAAATTTGAAAAACAATGTTAACATGATTTTTTAGTTTATATTTATTTATAAATACGAAGGGGAAGGAAAGTTCAGAGACTTTTAACTAAATTATTAACTTCGTAAACAATTATAGCATTAATTATGATTGTTAAAGGTGGTATACGTAGTAGTGTACAATATTTAATATAATTCTGTCGAAAGTACTTAGATGAACATCTGAAACAATTAAATCCAAAAGGTTCACGTTCATCAGTTGTTCAAGAAATATCATCATCAACATCACCACCGATAATAAGAAATAATACCACAAATACTAATACAACAGCATCTGTACCAACCGTCATCATCATCACGAACAACAGCGTCAACAGAAGTTGCTCATCGTAAATTTATTGTTAAAACATTAAATTTATGGTATAAAAGAAATAAACATTTATTAAAAGTAGATGATCCCCAAGTAAATTGCAAAAAAGCTCATGTATTACCGCTAACAAATATTAAAGGTGTGTATGAAGCTAAGATATATTTAGCTGTCTAATATCATTGAAATTATACAAAAATTGTCAGTTTCATCAGTTAACAAATTATTATAATCATATTCAAAGTAAATCATGTGTAATGATAAAGAAAAGCATTTAGAAGAGAATAGGAAACAAAGTTCAACCTCAGTATTAACATCGATAACAACAGCTGCATCAAATGGTAATATTAGTGATAATCTTGATGAGGGTGATGACGATAATAGTATTGCACCACAACCACCACCAACAGCACCATCGCAAAAGAGAAAATTTAGATCAAATTCAACAAAATTTAAATTTTGAAAAAAGGTCGTAATTCATAAACAATGTCTCTATTTCATTGTTTATTCCCACAGCTGTTATTCTTGAAGTCTGTTTTTATCTAAAATTTGATATACTCGGTCACGTTTGATTTCGATTTGTACATTTGCTATTTCATAGCTTAGCTGGAAACACTTAAAACAGAGAATGTAAACCGTGAACTGTTCACTTTAAAATCAATAAAAGATTAGACTTTCGTTTAAAGAGACATCCTTTAGATAAACATAAAAGTTTAAATGACCATGTGGAATTATTATGATACGTCTACTCTGCCAAATGATGTTCTGTTGTACTCCAATGAAAAATTTTATAATTTAGTTTATGAATTAGCCGGTGAAGATGTTTTAAAGATACAATCCATACATCCTGTTCCACCATTATTACGTACAGAAAGTGTATTTGAATTATTTCATTATGATTGTATTCAGATAAATTTTATTAATTTAAAACGAAACTCATGTTATGAGTAAGCAAATAAAACATTTAGTATTGCAATTAGTATTAAGAATGGATTAGAATATTTGATGAATATATTGAAACATAAAAATCAACAACGAACAGAAAGTAATACAAACAACAATAATGATAATAATAAACAAACAATTGATTTGATTGATAGATATCCATTATTAAAATCACTAATATACTATTATCAAATACTCGATAATAACACACATAATAATATAAAGAATAATATGTGTGAGATTTTACCAGATTTAATAGATATCAAATAATTTGCAATGTCAGCAGTGTTTAGCAAAAGGTGTTTGTGTTTTACACTTTTCAACAGGTACGATTGTCCTTATGGGTGTTGGTATTGTTTATTTGTTAAACCTGCTAGAGTTTATCAGTTTCTCTCGATTTGTTTAAATATGAAGTGTTGTATGTCTCCGTCAATTTTTTAGATTGTGACTGAAAGTATCTCCGTTCAGCGAGATTAGTCTGTGCTATTTCTGCTGATTCGCCACATGTTAAAAAATATCAAATAATCAAAGAATTTACAATTAATATACCAGAATCTTGGATACTTATATCCAATACATCTTTGCATTAGATTACGTAATCGATTGTTATCAAATAAAACAGAAATGAGAATAGGTAGTCAAATAATTGAATTAAAACATTAAGAACAAATAATTAATAATAATTCAAAAGTCTGACATTGTTTTGTTCAATCAGATTTGTATCGTAAGGGCAGACGATATTTCAATTCTTATGTTAAAAGTTCATCTCAAAATATATTGGATATATTAGATATAGATCCAAAAGCTCAATCAGCCTTCGTTTATTTACAATTATTCAATTATATGTTTAAAGCCTATGTTGATAATAATCGAAATATTTTGAATCGATTATATTATGCATGGATTGTAATATTTGTTTACAGATTTTGGTGGCTTTGGTTGAAATTGTATTTGATAAAAGAAAAGTTATCCAGATCGAAAAAGTATGAATATTTTATTACAAAAGCTGCTCAATATTCTATCGAATTAAATAGTTTTTTGTTTATTGTTTATTATTTTAATAGTGTTAGGCCATAAACCGCTAAATTATACATTAAATAATATACACTTGTTCAATTCACAAGGTTGTGAAACGACATTTCGTAATTCGAGAGCAATGAGTGCTATGTGTTGAACAATGGTGAGTTTTACAGTTAATGTTTTTTATATCGTGCTACTCAATTATCAGTTTTAAGTCAAATTAGATCTGATGAGATTTTTTCCTATTCCACATAAATATTCAAAAAAACCATTTAATTTGACAAACGATAATAATTTTTCTAATTTAACGTTAAATGATATTGAGATAACAATACGCAATACATTTACAGCAAAAACATTTATTTATTAATTAATTAAAAATGACTAATTTATCAAAAGGAAATTAAGAATAAGGAATTAAGTATTTATAAATATATACAGTACATTTGACGGAGTGTAAATTAAGCCGTCAACTATTTGCTTTAGCTACTTACAATAGGTAAACTGTATGCGCGACGCTGGAAACAAACGACAGATAATATTTTATCCAAGAGTCTGGAAAGAGTTGAATGTTTGTTAAAATGATAAGCATGTAACAAGAAGGTGTCTATTGCTTTTTAGTAGAAGATGACGAACTAATTAAAATATGAAAATATTAGCTCGTGGTCTAATGTACCGTCTGAGTTACGAAGGACTTACGATTGGCAAGCCCTCATGGGACAAAATCAGAAGACCCTCATTAGTTTATCTTTGTAATAGTCCTTTTAATCAACTGATATGTAAAATAAATGCAGCTTTGTGTATTCTGCAAATTCCCATAAAGAAGAATTTATTCCCTGGGTACGCGGCAAAAGAAACAGTCAGTCCGGCCTAAACCGAATGTAAATGGGATTTGTCGAAAGTTTCTTTTTCAGTGAAATCTTAGCTCAGTTACAATCATTTGTTGATATCAGATATACCATCATTAGTTGTCAATTTTTCTACCTATGATGTTTAGAGAGATATGTTTTACGATTTTTTTCTGTTATCAGAGCGTTCCAGACAAAATTACATAATTACCAGTATTTTGATTGATTATTTTTGATCTAATAAAGTATCAAATAAGGTACCAAGGTGTGAAAAGCTTTTTGGTAATGTATATAAGCATTTAAGTCGGTTACCGAAAGACAAACCGCAGAAAGAAACTTCAGTAATAGACAGGATAGCAAACATATCAATTATTAGTTCACTCTCTTCATTTTTTCTCAACAATATGCAGTGAAACTATCTGAAGATTACTATAGCATTAAAGTTTTGTTTTTATAAACACCATATACGATATGTTTGAACTGTAGTGTTCTTTATAAAATCAATTGTGCTCATGGCCGAAATAGAAAGAAAATTACAAATTCGAGACCTTGAGCTGGAGGTGATTCTAAGTTTTTAACCTGATATTTAACTCGCCGCGATCTAATAGTTCGGTGCTATCCGCGGTACTCATCTATAAATCGACAGTCTTCCGATCGTTGGTATATAGATATATCACATAACAAATAACCATGAATTGACATCATCTATATGTAGAACCTGCGTCTTCGTCTAAATACTTTCGCTTGTACTGTCAGGTCAAAAAGTCACATGGACGTAATGGTTCGGTTAAAACAAGATGGTTCGACATTGAACCATTATAAACCGAAGGATCTCTTTTGTCTGAAATGTCGAATGGTTTTCACTCAAAATGGATCAGTCACCTTGATAGAACCTTGCAGGTTCTATCACACTTCAGACAAAGTATGAAAAGGTTTCATCTAAAAGACGTTTATAAAGTATTTTTCGATTCAAACAACTATGTAGATGCATTGTGACTAATTCTTTCTAACTCTTCTGAGAGGCTAATGATCAACAGATAACTGTTTTAAACACATACGACAAAAAGCTTTAATTTCATGCTGTAGAGCAGATTTCTACTGAAGATGCATAAATATACTGGGCGCCCTATGTGGCACTCCACCCAGTGCCTGGGGTGTGACGAAGTGAGCGGAGTGTCACGAGGTATTCTTAATGCGGACTGTGCTCTTTCGCTCTCGAGATTGCCTCGATATTGCATGGCGGCCTTGTCTTTAAAAGATTCCATACAAGTCGGCAAGAAACACTTTGAAAATCTGAAAAAAATCTATTCTGTCTCTACAATCTGGTTGTACATGTGTGAGTTAGCGAAGGCGTGATTAAACGATGGATGCTTCTAAACCAAGAACCGCTTCTTGTCTGGGGGTAGTACCATCTTCTAACCAGAGTTTTACTGAAAATAAACACGAAACAAGTCATGAAACTCCATGGACTACTTAGACTGCTGCACAATTCTCGTATGTTCTGTCGCTTTTCTAGATCAGAGGTGTAATTGTTGAGCTAAACGAGCTCGTCGAGACAATATGCAAAGATCAGGCGAAACGAGACGAAACAGATGATCCGATCTCAATCAGCATTTACGATAGAACACACACAAATCTCAAATCAGACAACAGCTCATTCATGTGGTTTCAGCTGTTTATCGAAGTTCTACTCCGAATGAAACATTCACAAACATCGAAAGATGA